GCGTCCTTGTTACTACTAGTAAGGCACTTGTTACTAGAAGCGATGCACTTGTTCCTAGTAGCTGCATTTGCGACCGCTGGGCCGACTTGTTGTGCGAACTTCTTGGCTCGGGAGATGAAGATTGCCCCGGCCGACGGGTGATCCAAGAGGTGCCGACAGATGGAACCACCAACACCGGACAACACGTCGCCGTCGGCGCAAAGAAGGAAACAGCAGCAGCAACGCAACTTGGGTTTCCAAATCTATCCACAGACACATGCCAGTAGGTGGTGAGAAAACCAGTTTGATGTGTTTGAAAGATGCCCTTTTGATCCTAGTTGTGGGTTCAGATTGACCAACACGTGATCTCTTCTGCTTTTTGGGCCAGTCCCCCCCGGCCATGCATGGCGTTTTCACTTCTTTGCTCTGGCTATGCTCGTTTCGCAGCGTGGTGGCCGAGGCTGGTTTCTTCGGCGGACCTCGCCGAGTTCGGTGGTTCCGGGACTCCGTTCGGCTTTTCGTCCCCGTTGAAACGCCCGCAGGGAAGCACACGGCCATGGGCCATGGGCCACAGGGGTTCGAAGCTGAAGGATATTTTTGGACAAACAGAATGGCATGAGTGATGGGGATTTGGACACATGAAGCCGTGAAGCCCCTGACACTCAATTTGACCAACTCCTTGAACTCAATCAAATCCGCTATGTTTGTTTGCATCCTGTGTGAACGTGAGAATGATTTGTCAGGATACAAATCTCATCATGAGTGGCGATTGCAACAACGAGTCGGCCAGTCACAATGGGCTGTGGTTTTTTGAAGGGAGCACTGCCGATGGACGACCGTACTACAAGCGCGATGGCTGGGACTACTGGTTGTATTACGATGCACACTGTGACTTGGAGAGCATAGAAAGGACATGTGTATTTGGGAAACGGGCTGCTTTCAGAAGAAAGGGCAGAAACCCCAATTCCATTTGCCCTGTAATTAGTGCAATTTGCAGACCACCGTCCTTGGCGCAAGAGAAAGAAAGGGCTGCCACACCTGCTTTCCAAGCATTCACAGTCCCATGACAGTGGTTCTTCGGTTTGACGAACACGACGTCGGTCGTTGGACACGGTGTCGAACACGTTGGTCGAGCTTCCGGACACGGCCACTTCGATTTGAAGAAGAAGCGAAGAGAGAATAGAAGAAAGGTCCATATGTTGAAGATAGAACTTAAAGTAGATCACGTTGGAGGCCATCTCTTCTAGGGAGGGCATCTCTTCTAGATTTTGGTATCATTCGGTATTAATTAAGTTAGTACAGTGAAGTTTCCCTAACAATCTAGGAACCTAATCATTAGCGCGAGCTCTCCTGCGTCCAGTTGCGACTCCAGTGACCTCCAACTATCGAGGCCTACCCCCCTTGTGCGCGCGCGTGCGAAAAAGCTACACTACTAGCCAGCTCTTTAATTCCTACTAGCTACCTAGCTACTACCTCTACCACGGCCTAGTATAAACATGATTAATATATTCACTATAATATTAAGAAAAGGACATACTTCTTAAAAGACTTCTTTTTTCAAAGAGAAACAACCCAGACGGTTCCTCCCGCGCTTCCCGAGGCGACGGATCCGAGTCGACCCCGGGGCGGTGGGTCATGGACTCGACGGCGCCCTCGCTCACCGCCACCTACGATCTGGACGAGGCGGGACGTGCTCAGCTCTTGGTTCACAGAAAACCAAAAGAAGTTGTGTTTGTTTTTTCATATACTTATATGTATATGTATATGTATATATATATACAGATATTAATGCGTGTGTTCAATGATATGTATTTTCTGAGTGAACAAAAGAAGTTGTTGATTTCCTGAGTTCTCCAACCTAGCGATGGCCTCCATCCTACTAGTGATGGTTACCTTTGAAGAGTTCTGGTGAAAACATCGTGATGTTCCTTTATTGAACCACTGCATCATGGCATTTGTCTTGGACTTTGGGGATGACTCAGCAGTTTTCCAGTAAATTGACCTTCAAGGACTTTCACACCCAACTCACGGAATTCCTCCAGAGAACAAAGCAACCTCGTCTTTTTTTTCCTTCTTCTTCTTCTTCTGCTCCTGCTTTTGAGAAGTTTGCAGTGAAGCAGTGCTGACAACACTCGAAGACCTGACGATTCAAACACACACACACACACAGTTACTCAGTTACTCGCACACGCACACAGTTCACCTGTGTTGTTTTTCTTCTGTGAATCGCCAACGTGCCAAACACACACTCTGCGGCACGTCCGTGATGGAACTTGCAGCCAAACCACGCAGGATGGAACTTGCTTCTACCACGCCCGTTACAATGTGGAGGATTTGTTGCCGCCCAGTGGTACTTGGCGCACCTATTGCTGGGAAGTCGGGCAAGGATGGGTCAACGCGGATGTGACGATGACAGCAGTGTCCTGGCTGGCTGAACGGGTGACGACCGGTGAGCAGGGCATTGAAGGATGGGTCGAAGATGAAGACAGTAGATACGTTCGTAGCTTCTTCTTACAGCAAAAGGAACCGAGCATAGGAATGGCCAACTCGACCCAGCGATGGCCGAAACAACCTACTTGCGATGGCCTCCACCGACTAGTTACTAGCGTCTGAACGCTAGTCTCGATGCCTTGGACGTCGTGTCTTTCTGTTCCCGGTTCCGAACGCATGGAGCTTTGGAAAAAGGAGGGGTCGGTCTTTTGAGACCGCCTCGTTTTTCAACCCAAGACCGCTGTCTACCGTAGGTTCCCGGCTATTTTTTCAGAGGTCGAGGACCGCGCTGGTTTTCCACTCCTTCCTTCCTTCCTTCCTTCCTTCCTCTCCGTTTCCCCGTTCGTCCCGTCCTCCTGGGGTCGCCATCACCAGCACCAGCATCACCTCCAGCTCGAGCACTGGGCGGCTTCGTTGAAGCAAAGCGAAGAAGCGAAGCCGGCTTCGTTGCGAGACGTGAGGCCAAGCATGTTCAGATGGAAGGCTGTACTGAACCTATAGTCGCGGTGGCCTGACCTACCTACAGCTACTACCCAGCCATGGGCTCCAAACCGAATAGCAATGGCGGCCATTGAATTCTTGTACTGAACATATACACTAGGAAGTGAGGATGAGAAACAGAAAGACTGAACAGGAACCACCATGGTTGTTCTTGCTCTTTCTCGAGAGAATTCGACAGCTCTCTCTTGACTTGAAGACAGTTAGACTCAGTTAGACAGCTCTCAATCTCAGGACCAGTACCTCCGTGACCTCCAGTAGCTCCAGCAGTTCGACCACCTCGAGCACCACCAGCAGCAGCACCAGCAGCACCAGCAGAACCTCAGCTACGTCCACAACGTCCACGTCCACGAGCAGCAGCAGCAGCAGCAGCATCACCTTCACAGAGAGCACTTCCACGACCACATCCAGCAGTTCCAGCAGTTCCTCCACATCCTCAACCACCTGCACCTCCAGCCTCACTGGAACCAGCACCAGCACCAGCATGTCCAAGTCAAGCACCTCGAGTTCGAGCACCGGCACCAGCACATCCACGTCATCAAGCAGCAGCAGCACCAGCAGCTCATCCTCAGGTACCACCAACTCAGTGACCTCCAGGACGCGAACCGAACGGGGCTGGCCTGGCTACTAGGAACAAGAAGCTACTAGGGGCTCGTGGCCTTACTACTAGGAGCAAGGAAGCTCCTAGGGGCAACCACCAACGGACGGTGACCTCCAGGACGGTGTCCCAGACCGCCACCCTCACGTCGACCAGCAAGTCCACCTCCAGCGTCAGCTCCACAGCAACATCCACGACCTCGAGGAGTGAAGTGACAGACTTCCGTCAGGGCATCGGAACGGAAACGGAACGGCACAAGGGCATCGGCGACTCCAAACCCTTCGCGAGCGATCGGACCGCGAGCGCGAGTTCGGGGGCGCTCCGGAAGGAACGGAACAAGGGCATCGGCGACGTGTATTAGAATCTCTACGTGACCCCAAGGACCTAGTAGTAAGGCCAGTTTCGCCCCGATCGTAGCGTCCTTTCTTGCTCCGTTCGATGCCGCGATGCCGCGATGCCCTTGTTCCGTTCGTAGTACCAATTAAGATCAATTAAGTAAGGCCTCTTCCTCCTCCCCAAACTTCCCTCCTCTTCCTTTCTTTGGGCCCGTCAGCTACTACGACATCTCTTCGCAGGGTCAGCTACTACACTAGCTTCGGACGCGGGGGGGGAGAGCTCAGGCTTCAAACAGCGATGCCCTTTGTTACTAGCTTTTTGTTACTAGAAGCGATGGCATAGCGATGGCCGCTTCTAGCTACTAATAGCTTCTTGTTACTAGTATTGCCAGCTACTAGCATCCTTGCTACGTTCGTAGCTTCTGCCGCAAAAGGTGGCTACTGTCAGTCATGCAGCGATCAGGTCGGTCCCTTCGAGACCTCAATCGATGTTCACTGAACACTGGCACTGTCCGCGGCACCCGCCTTCGGATTTTTTTCCGACACGGCGAAGCCGTGAACCGACCAGGTCCGTGAGGACCCGTGAGGACCGCCGTATGGCCTTGTCAGGAGCACGAGCAGTAGCAGCACGAGCAGTAGCAGCACTAGCAGCACCACCAGTACCAACACAGTGGTGCCTTCACAGAAATGGTCAGAGTCAAAGATGAGATGTTTGGGCGGAGACAGACGGGGGTTTTTCACCTTCCTCTCAAGCTTTTTGGGTACGGCAAAAAGCTTCTT